AATGCAGTTTAGTTCTGTGGGAACGTAATTTTTAGGAGACAGGGTTGTGTGACGACCCCTGCCTTGTTATCTCTTGTGTGTGTGTGTGTATGTTCCTTTAAGGTTTTCCCTTTGGCCTATCAGCTGGGATTGAGGACACCTGGTGGCCGGTACCAGAGGGTTAAAGGGCCTTTTACATTTTGGAAGTAACTTGCCCAACACTGTTTAGAACTAATACACTTTATTTGATTGGGTTACTCTTATTCTGACTATTTGGTGATGTAGTTCAGCTACCTGGTATTTCCCTCTCCAAATATAATGACCATCAGAGTGAGCATTCTTAACTTATAGGCTATTGTGCCACTTATCCCCCATTCGGAATTTGACTGTATCAGAGAAGAGGTAGGCCTATGTCTAAAGAAATCTCACTTGCAATAGAACTGTACCAGATATTTCCATACAACTAGTGGTTAGTGTTCAATAGCACCCTAGACAATTCAGTAATGGTATATTTTTTAGGGATTTCTGTTTTTCTGATAAATGAGAGAAAAGTGATTGAGTCCTGTTCCATGTTCCTATCACCAAAAAGTACAATTTCCGTCTAAACTAAAGCTAAGTTTACAGGACTATAATTCAGTATTTGTTTAGTTCAATAATTTTCTGACTATTTGGTGATGTAGGACAGCCACCTGGTTCATACCTCAGCAAATCTGAAGAGGAAAAGAGCGGTCATTCTCAAGTTATGGGCTTTCTTGTCACCTTTCCCATATTCGGCCTGGTCTAATTTGGCTCTTTTTCAGGGATTGGGGTAGTTCTAAAGAACAACCAAAAAAACATTTTTTCCCCCAAAATAAAATTTGACAACAATCAATTTCATTAATGGGAGACCTGAAGTTACCTACTGTAACTCCAGCTTCTATGAGTATTGGCGTAGCCCTCTAAGGCTATCGCTATTGGGTAATCCCCCTGCGCACCCGCGCAGCACTGAAACACTTGTAGTCCACGCCCGCCCGCAAGGTGGGCCCCACCCTCGGGCTCCCTTCCGGTATAAATAGGAAGGAGGCCCGACAATCTGCTCCCACACAAAAAAACTTTTCTTCAGCTATTCGTGGAGCCAGTGGGGCCCAGAACTTAGAGGGCTACGCCAATACTCATAGAAGCTGGAGTTACAGTAGGTAACTTCAGTTCTATTTCGTATATGGCTTCGCCCTCTAAGGCTATCGCTATTGGGTTAAGGGCGAAGCAAGACGTAGTCTGCGCCCCACTGGGTCGCCCCGGTACAAGAAGCACAAACACACCTGCTCAGATAATAACCCATGCCTATTGCGCCAAGCGAATGGCGCATCACAGTCCCTGGAATATATCATAACATGAATATTTACCATGAGAGGACAAAGGCTGGGAATAATACATACCCGTCCGCTGTGAGAAAGTAGAGACGAAGGTCACACTTTGCCCAGTGACAGAAAGGAGGGGAATAGCAGCTCTCTGCGTGCAGACAGGCAGAAGAGCGCACAGCTGGGTCCCCAGCATCACTCATTCTGACAAGACATTCCGTACGAAATGTGTCAGGGGAAAAAAGGGGGACGTCCCTCTCATAAGAGGGAAAATAGGCCATTCTCCGTGTGCCGAGGCAGGAGAGAGGCGCACAGCTGGATCCCTGACGTCACTCACTCTGACAGGACACTCAGCACAGGGTGTGTCAGAGAGGAAAGGGAGACATCCCTCAAATAAAATTGAATAAATGAACAGGGAGAAGACCAAGATGCAGCAATGCAAATGTCTTCCACTGACATTCCTCCGTGCAAAGCCGTGGAGGAGGAAATTCCTCTGGTGGAGTGCGCATTAATGTTCTCCGGGGGATCCATCCCAGAGGAGACATATGCCTGTGACACAGCCTCACACAGCCAGTGTGACAGCCGCTGTGCAGACAGAGGCTGCCCGATCGAGCGCTCTCTGTAGTGCACAAACAGGCGCTGAGAACGGCGCAAGGCAGCCGTGCGTGCTACATAGCAGGACAGCGCGCGCACAGGACAGAGGAGATGAGACGTGGCTTCTTCCTCCGACCTGTGAGGAGGGGGAAAGAAGCCATCAGGGTGATCACTCTTGACCTAAAAGAGCTTGTGATGACCTTTGGCATAAAAGCTGGGTTAGGGCGTAAAACAGCTGAACTGCCATCTCCTTGGATCCGGAGGCATGACGGAGCCACAGAGAGAGCAGACAAATCACTCACCCTCTTTGCTGATGTTAGAGCCAAAAGTAGTACTACTTTGGCTGATAACATCTTAAGGGGAACCTGATCTAAAGGTTCAAATGGGGCTTTGCTTAGTGCGCGTAACACCAAAGCCAAATCCCACTGAGGCGCTAGTGCGCGTGACACAGGTCTGAGTCTCCGTACTCCTCGCAGAAAACGTTTCATCAGGGGGTGACTAAACACCGTCCCGACCCCGAAACCCACATGACAAGATGATATGGCAGCAGCATACACCTTGATTGTGTTGAAAGCCAAATTCCTGTCCAACAACAGCTGGAGGAATGACAGCACGTGAGGCAGGGGGCACGTAATGGGGTCCAGGCTTTTCTCTACACACCAACGCTGGAAAGCTGTGTAGGACGCTCTGGTAGACGCGGCCCTGGCTCCCTGAATGGTCCGTACAACATCTTGAGAGAGGCCCAGCCCCTCTAAGTGTTCCCGTTCAGGGGCCATGCCCATAAGTGCTGGCCTATCACAGGGTGACTGTTGATCGCTCCCTCCACCTGCGAGAGAGCGTCCCCGCGCCACGGAATTTCCCACGGTCTGCCTGACAGCGTACGCTGTAGGCATGGAAACCAGGAAGCGCCCGTGAGCTCCGGGGCAATTAGGATCACTGACAGTCGCTCCTCCTGCACTCGGTCCAGGAACCGAGGGATCAGCGGGACTGGTGGGAAAGCGTACAACAGTCCCCTGGGCCATGGTCGATGTGCGAACGCGTCCACCCCCAGGGGGGGGGTGGTCCTGCGCTTTCAGGGAGAACCAGAGGGCGCATTGCGCGTTCCCGCGTGCGGCGAACAGATCCACCTCTGCTCTCCCGAACCGGCTCCATACCTGGGAGACCAGCTCGGGATGGAGGCTCCAGTCCCCCTGGCGAGGACCTCCTCTGGACATGAGGTCTGCCCCTTTGTTCAGTTCGCCGGGAACATACATTGCTCTGATGGAGAGCAAGTGTGCGCGCGCCCAGATCAACAGCGGCCTGGCTGTGTTCAAAAGCTGCGCTGAGCGTACTCCGCCCTGGCGATTGATGTAGGCTGCCGCGGCTTTGTTGTCTGTGCGAATCAACACATGCTGATTCCGCAGCAACGGGGCAAAATACTGGATTACTCTCCGTACGGAGAGCAATTCCAGCACGTTTATGTGGAGGGACATGTGAGCCGGCCACTGTCCCCCCACTGCCTGTGACATACACGTTCCTCCCCACCCTGAGAGAGATGCGTCTGTGAACACCGAGATGTGTGACGTAACTCTGCCCAGGGGCACACCCGCTGACAGGACGTGGGGACTTTTCCAATAGGTTAAGTCTGAACCCACGGAAGGAGGGATGGCCACCATGCGCCTCTTCTGTCGCACGGGGTCGATGCGCAGGCGAATAAACCACCTCTGGAGTCTCCTCATGTGAAGGAGACCCAGGGGAATCACCACGTGACCAGCTGCCATCATGCCAAGCAGCTGCATCACGGAGAGGGCTGTCACCACGCTGCGAGGTGTGACGCGTCGGAGAAGAGCTGTCAGTGCCTCCACTCTCTGCTGTGAGAGTCGCGCTCTCATGCGTGCTGAGTTCAATTCCACACCCAGGTAAATAATACTCTGGGAGGGAAGAGGGCAGCTCTTCTTCCAGTTTATGATGAAACCCAGCTTTGACAGATGTGATACGAGCTGTACCGTCTGTAAAGCAACTTCCTCTCTGGATCGAGCTAGCAATAGCAAGTCGTCCAGGTAAAACAGCACTCTCATCCCTCCTCTGTGAAGCGGCTGCAGCGCCATCTCTACACACTTCGAAAAAGTGCGAGGAGCCAGGGAATAACCGAACGGCAGATGGTTGTACTGGTACGGTATTCCCTGGAATGAGAAACGCAGGTATTTCCTGTGTTTTGGAATGATGGCTACGTGGAAGTAAGCATCCTTCAGGTCTATCGATGTGAACCAGTCCCCCTGGTGAACACACTCCAGCACCTGTCTGATCGTCAGCATGTGAAAAGGCCTTTTCATTATGACCTTGTTGAAAACTGACAGATCGAGGATGGGTCTCATCCCCCCTGTCTTTTTCGGGACAAGAAAATAGCGGGAGTAATACCCCTGATTTTCTTCCCCTTGAGGAACCCTGGAAATAGCCTCTTTCAACAGGAGTTCCCGCAGCTCTGCCTGGAGCGCAAGACACTGTTCTTGGGATGACAGGAGTGTTTCCTGTATCCCATTGAACTGTGGGGGGGTGAGGCGAACTGCAGGGTGTACCCTCTGCTGATCAGCCTGCTCATCCATCTGTCCATCAGACACACGCGCTGCCACTCTGAGAAATTCTCTGAGAGCGGGCGCACATGGTCGAGATGTGTTGTGGTCGTCATGGCGACGAACCACGTCAGAGCCCTTGCCGCCGCTGCCTGTGAGGCAACCCAAGGTGGGCCTGGAGCGAAAGAGCTGTGAGGGAGCCTCCACACGCTGCGTTTCACTCTGGCTCTCATCATGAGGCGTGTACACGCTCAGGGGATGAATGGAGATGTATGCAGTGTTGACCACATGAGGCGTTATAACGGCGCTCATGGGTTTATTATGACCGTGTGTAGGAGACGTATCTCGGACAGAGGAATGCCGCGAGCTCTGCGGTTTATTAACCGATAGGTTAAAACCAGCAGGCTTCTGCAGCGAGCCCTGCTGTCTACTAATCAACAGATTGGTGGCAGCTGGCTTAGTTAGCAAACTCTGCAGTTTATTAACCGATAGATTAAAAAGTGCAGGTTTTCGCAACGAACCCTGCTGGCTACTAACTGATAGGTTATAGACAGCTGGTTTACACAGAGTGGAGGATATGTGAGAAACACTTGATGATACTGATGACTCAGACAAAAAGTTGGAAAATTAACCCATTTTATTACTCTCACTATCCCCCCCAACACGTCAAAGGCGGCTCTGCTTTCTTGGAGGCTCACGTGGAGCGGACACAGAGCGGGAGTGCCTCCCTCCCCGTTGGCTCACCGCCGAGAGACCCCTCCGTCTCTGGGGTGGCGGAGACGCGGGGCGGAGCCCCTGCCGCCGCCGACGGGCGCTGACGCCGCGGCTGCGGTTGAGACCTCTCCGCCTGCCGCTCTGGCCGGGTTGGACGCTGCGGCTGCTGCGGCTGCTGCGGGCGTTGGTGCCGCCCAGCAGGCTGGAGCCAGCTGACGTGCTGGCGGATGTCGTCCGCCTGTTCCGCAGCCGCCTTCATGGATTCCACCATGGCGTGGAACTGGGGTCCGAACAGCCCGTCCGGGCTGATTGGAGCATCCAGCAGCACTTTTCTGGCCGTCTCCGTAACGGACGCCTGCTGCAGCCAGAGGTGGCGCTGGATCTGCGTCACCCACGCGGCGATCCTAGCCTGGGAGACAGCAACAGACGCACACAGTGTGAGCGCCGTGCTGGCAGCCTTGGCGATCTCCTCCGCTTCATCAGCGGCCAAGGTGGTGGACCGCTCCACCAGCGTCACCAGCGTCACCACCGAGTTGGACAGCAGCGCGATGTTGTTCGCCGCCGCCGACGCCTGAAAGGCACACTGGTGCACCCGGTCGGCCTGGCGGGCAACATACTGGTCCCTGGGGGAGGCCAACGTAGGGCGCCGTCCGGCGATCATGTTGGCCTGCCTCACCCCAAAAAACGCCGTCAGGCCCGGCTCCAGCGAAGGGGTGGCTGGGAATCCAGCATCTGTAAAACCCTCCACCTTGGTGAGGGGAACAAATGTGGCCACCGGAGCCTTCAGGGTCCTCGGGTTTGCCGCCGTCCCCTCCTGGTACCTCCTGATGGCGGGGAAGCGTGGCCAGATCGGGTCACTCCTGACCGTCTGCACCCGCGAAAAAACTTTGCCTTGCAAATGATCCTTGGCAGTTCCACCAAGATGCCACCTATCGCCGGCAGCGCCGTGGTGACGGAGAAGGGGACCGCGTGCTCGGCCAAGTCGACACCCTGCTCCGACTCTGTCTCCCCCGTCCGGGGGAGAGGAGGGAGGGGAGAACCATACGGTGAACCGTGGAGGGAGATGGGGTAGGAGTCGTCCGACTCCTGCCCGGCACTCGGCTCCAGGGGCACGAGGCTGCCGTCCACGAGCCCGTGGACGGGCCAATCGTCCTCCTCGGTCGCAGCAGCGAGAGCGTCCGCTCTACGCTTCCTGTCGTCCGAGGGGAGACGGGCACAGTGCTGGCATGCGACCTGCTGGCTGAGAGCCGCGTACGCGTGCTCTGACCCCAGGCAGGATTCGCATTCTGTGTGCTGATCATAGCTCATGATATAGCCGGATCCACATGAGGGACAATCCCTAACACAATTGTTGCTCATGTTTCTCGGATATACTACGTGTCTCTTGTGCTTCAGTAACGGGGTGCTGAAGAAAAAGAGGGAGCAGATTGTCGGGCCTCCTTCCTATTTATACCGGAAGGGAGCCCGAGGGTGGGGCCCACCTTGCGGGCGGGCGTGGACTACAAGTGTTTCAGTGCTGCGCGGGTGCGCAGGGGGATTACCCAATAGCGATAGCCTTAGAGGGCGAAGCCATATACGAAATAGAACCTAAAGATAAGAAAACTAATTGTTGTGTTTTGTTCTACCTCGGGTAGGGGTATCTCAAAATCTGAGGGCCCTTCCTGCTAGACGATGGAAAATGCACCCAAATGACCCCAGAAGTGTTTTTTTTTTTCTAAATCTCTCTAAAAAGGTCAAATGTCACTTATTTTGTATCAATCTTGATACAGGGTACTTATTATATGTTATAGTTTGGATTCCTAAAGCTTTTAGTCTACTATCCCATCATTCAAGGGTGGTTTTCACTATAAGTCATGGGTTTTCTTTGGACGGACACTATAATTAAATTTGTTTTACTATATTCAATCTGAATTGACTTTAAAATAAAAAAAATTCTATATTGATTCTGACTTTTCTACATCCAACTCACATGTTTATCAGTGCTTTGAGAAAAAAGATTATTAATTTACCCCTTTTAGAAGTGAAAATATCCTCCAGAGACCCACCCATTCATTTGTGTCCTCTGTGGTGCACATTGGGTTTTGGTCCATTACTTTGAGGTTATACATGCCACAGCATTAAGTCCAATTGTACTCCACAGAGGACATCCTGGGCTTTCCAAACATATGACATATGTGGGGATGTGGCTTTGAAAAAGATCATTTCATTGTATTTCAAAATGGCGTCCATCAACACAAGCACTATTTATAGAAAGAGAAATGGTTAAGTTTGTAATTACCAGTATTGTGAGTTCAATATTTTTAATTAATTATAGTAAGGGAACATCTTAGGAGTTAGTGTAGTGAGTTTTCAGAGCAGTGTAATACTTATTTGACCTAAAACTAAATGTTTTTATGAATGTCCTCTGAGGACATGGGGATTTGCTAACTTTTTATTCCCCCCATTTTACACAACACAACTGGAGTCCACTATGGGCCAAAACTAACACTTAGGTTTCTGTAGGGGTCATGGCAGACGGATGCAGTGGGAAAACATACATCAAGTGTCAGATGTATCCTTTATTTCAAAAAAGGATGGAGTACTACAAATGAGGGCTCAGTATTTGTTGCATTGAGTTGTTGTGCTCTAATGTTGTCTAAAAATGTACTTGTATGTTAGTTTGTGTACTATGCTTCGCATAACTAACACTCGATGTCCTCTACAAAGGACACACAATGAAACAAAAATAAAAATATATTTTTTTAGTTTTTGTTAGTCATTATGTTTATACCACCCTAAAGACTTGTGTGATCAAAAAGAAAAAAGGAAATCTGAAACCTTTTTCTTTCTGGGTCTCAGGAGGATGTCAATTGTTCTGGGAATGTCATGTTCGAGCCTGAGGCCTGAAAAACAGGCTCGGGGCTTAACTGGTTAAATGTTTGAAATGGATTCAGCATCCTCAATAACCCCCAAAACCACTCAAAAGTGTCCAAATCAGCCAAGCCAATATTTGTACTATTGTCCACATACTGTAGGTGGTAATTAATGCTGATTAACACAACACTTATGCTAATTGTGTAAAATTCCCAACATATAAATACGCATTAGGCAGTTTCTATGTGCTGGGGACCCCTAATAAATATTTCTAACATACAACTTTTGGGTATTCAACCTTTCCGGGTTCACAACAGGACTCTATTATTGCACATATTTTAAATGTAACTTGACTTGAAATAAAAACCTCAGGGGGAACAGCGGACCTCTGAAATGATTCAGAGCTTAAAAATATTCCTTGGACATAATTACTACACACATTCGATGATTTCTCCTTTAAAGTAATACTTCAACATGCTGGTAAAAAATCATTTTCATTCCAACAGTGAGATGTGAAGATCAATGCTATTCTAAGAAGAGAGCTAGAGTCAGGAAGTGATTAGACTCATGTTGCATAAAGACTGGACAGCTGGCCATTAATACATCTGAAATCATGGTCACAAGTACACAGAGATAAAAAGATATTATGAGTTGAATAGAAATATGTTTTAAGGTGTTTTAGCTTCATTGACAGGTGCCTAAGTTTATGAAAATCCCACAAGATCTCCAACTTTACATTTGTTCTGATTTAAGAAAGTGTGAAAGACGTGGAGATGTGGACTTAATATCCATGTTTCCACGACTGAATGCTTGGAATGTAAATGTTTCCACAATGATAGAAACACATCTGGGATGTCCTAAAGATATTCATTATTTTATATTTTTGTCACAAAATTACAACTCAAGCCATCTGATTTGCTTTGAATGTCTGTCTGTGGTTTGATTCACAGCAGTAACACTTTCAGTAAAACTTGAAATCTAACAAATAACTGGAGCCCTTGATGTTTAGATATTTACTCTGACATGTTTATGTTCTAAGGACTTATAAAGTGTTGTGTATGTGCCTCTGAGCACGGTTTTCCCCATTCAGGGAAGCAGACTAATGTTTTTCCCATCCTGTTAAAAATCCTATTGAAGAAAAATAAATTCTGAAATGTCCAAGTATCACTTTCACAGAGAAAAGCTGCTTCCTGTAGCATCTAAAGCAGGCCAGCCTGTCGTAGTGATTCATCCCTCCA